AGAATCTTCCCAGACTGAAACCCCAGCTCCCACGTAATGCCAGCCACAACCTTGTGAATTCCACAGGGAGGTGCCAGTCTCATCTTCTTGTATCTCCCACGCTCCTCAGGAGATGTAAGAAAATGTTTTCCTCCCTGAGCCTGGCCTTCATAATCCCATTCCATCACAGCTACCAACCCTATTTTGACCTAGTCTAGTATATTATGTGAACTTACCTGAAGGTCCTTTTCAGGACATTGCTGACCTCTTAGGACATGACAGCCACTACCTGAGGTATCTTTAAAAGAAGACATTGTCCTTGGAGGACTATATGGAGGACAGGTGATGTCAGAAGCTGCTGGTTATGATGTAAACCCCACAGTGAGCGACAGCCAACAGTTATAAAATCAAAGTGATTGGTTTATTGTACTTGCACAACATCAGAATAACTTGACAAGCCATTGACAGTATTTGCAGTTGCTTCCTCCTGGTGTTCCTCCTTTGTCTTCTTGCTTTGATTCGTTTTGCTAAGCTCATGAAAAACAAAATAAAGTACAAACTTCAATTTCAAGATAGTTCAAATTGTACTGAAACTTAACATCTAACTTTACAACAGAATTTCAGTGAGCCTGATATATGATAGAGAAGAAAGGGAGAAAAAGGAGATCATGTGAAAATATAATAAAATAACTCAAGGGAATTTGATCAAATAGCTTAGAAATATTCTTCCTTACCCCTCTCTCAAAAAAGTACCAACCACATTATCTGTTTCCTTCCTGGTACAATTCTGAAGTAGATTTAGGAGTTTTCCTTCCACCATCCTTCTTCAGTACTCCTACTAAGGAGGAAGTAGATTTGAACAGGTACTTCAGAGCTCATGGGAGTTGGGACATAGCACCCATCTGAAACTCTTTAAAACAGCTGCATCTTTTCCTGGGATCATGCACAATCCCGGGAAAAGACACAGCTGTTCTATGGAGCTCAGACAGATGCTCTGTTTGTGGCCCTGCATTCTCCAAAGCACATGTATGAAATCAAATCCAAAACACTGCACAACCCCTGTATATACTAGAAAGACTAAGTTTTGTGGGAACAAGAGGAAGGGATATTGTGTTCCTGTCCTGCTGACAGACATCCTAGAAATTTTAGATTGAATCCAGTTTTAATGCCCTTGGAAGTAACCTATGGAAATGAATTGTGCTTAAGTGAATTACGGAAATTAATCCCAATCTAAATGTGCAAAGTAACATTTATGGTAGTGTGCATGTTTGTATGTTTATCTTGGTGCTGTCCTGCAGATTTTCAGCATCTGCTTCAAGTGTTTTCTTAGTTCATCATAATATAGAACTGATACCTCTTGCATTGATGTTTTATTTGGAGCCTGGATGTGGGTTATATTACTTTATCCATGCAAAAAACCCAAGTTTCCTTAACTTTTATGAAATTCCTTTAGGTTCAGAGCGCGTGTGTGTGTGTGTGTGTGTGTGTGTGTGTGTGTAAATGCATTACAGTGGGTTTCTGGTAAGGAATCTGCTGTTTTTTCTTAGATCACCCCATACCATAGATCCATTTTGTGTCTCTGTTTTTCTTTCTATTCATCTGTCTATTGACCAGTTAAACATTGACACAACTTTTTAGTCCTGAGTAATGCTTTGGGGTTTTTTTGTTCTTGCGTTTGTTTTTTGTAGTTTCCAAGAAATTTTGTGAAACCATATTCATTTGCATCTTTAGTTGTCTCTTCGAATTTTTTTAAAATCCCCAGTGTCAAATAACATGTTCTCCTCCTTCCTGAAACTTCTCATAGGAAACAAAAGCTGAGTTCACATCTTTCAACCCAAGCACCCTTCTGCCCCCCTGCCTAAATTATTGGACATATCCTGGATCTTTGACGACACCACCTCTCAGCGAGACCGTCACCTGGATAGTGCTGAAGGAAGCTATCCAAGTATCCGAGAAACAGGTAAATCTTGAGGGTGAGTGAGTGATGAGAACGTAGTTGCCCCATGTTTATGGAAAATATTCTTCCAAATAGTTATCAGGAGGAAATGCTCTATGGAAAAAAAATTCTCTTGGAAAAGCACTTTTTAAATCTCTTTCAGCAACCAAGCTACAAAGGATATGGGTATCTCATTCAGATATATGGATAAATGGATATTTTCCTCCAGGATTTTTAAAACTTATAATTTTGGAGAGGGATTCATAGGGTGTGTCTATTGTATGTGTTGGGGGAGTCCTTTTAAAATCAGCAGGAAATTAGGCTGCTACGATTTGTTGATTTTTCTGCCAAATCGGAGTAATGTAGTAATAGAAAAATCTTAGATGGTTCCATGGTGATTGATATTCTGTTCTCTCCATGGGGTTGGTACCTTTTTAAATTTTTTAAATTTTAAATTTTTTTGATAATGTTTTCATTTTAATAATCGCTTTTTATCTTTTTATAATGATTGTTTTTATCCATTTGTTATTTATTTAAATATCGTACCCCACCCAGAGTCGCTTTGTGTGAGATGGGTGGCTATATAAAAGTAACATATATATGAATGAATGAATGAATGAATGAATGAATGAATGAATGAATGAAGTCCTAGAGAGTTCTGTGAGATTCAGAAAGGGAGTTGGCCAATTTATTGTTAAGATTGTAACCTGCTAAGTAGTAGATTAAAAAAATGAATGAATGAATG